ACGGTAACACAGTTCATTAATTCATGTGAAATTTGTCAGAGAACAAAATATGCTCGACAAAATCCATATGTGCCACTTGTTCTAACTGAAACTCCATCAAAACCTTTTCAAACAGTTCATATCGATTCATTCTTTTTCGATTCCAAAATATATTTAACCCTGATAGATGCCTTCTCAAAATTCGGTCAAGCTCTTATAATTCCTGGAAAAACTGCTATTAACATATGCAATGCATTATTCAAATATTTCACATGTTTTGGTACTCCACAAAAAATCATAGTAGATAGTGGAAAAGAATTTAATAATGAGACTGTTAAAGAACTATTGAACCTTCATAAAGTAAAAATACATTTCACTACCCCAGGACATCACGAAGCTAACGGAATTGTGGAAAGATTTCATTCGACATTAATAGAGCAACTAAGAATATTGAAAGAAATCTACCCAAACGAATCAGACTTGATCAATTATGCCACATTAGGTTACAATAGTTCAATTCATAGCACAACAGGATTCACCCCATTCGAACTTGTTTTTGGACATACCGACTCTAGAAGCGCAGACGAAATTTTTGTACCCAAAGAAGTATTTTCCGCATATATTCAAGATCACAAACAAAAAATTCACCCAGTATATGACAAAGTGAAAGAAAAGCTTCGAACTCGAAAAGAAACTATCATATCTAAATCAAATATCAAAGGCGATGCAAACGACGAATTCAAATTAAATCAGAAGGTGTATAAGAAAAATCCGTTGAACAGAAATAAAAGAAATAATAAATTTTTAGGACCATATACTATAACTAGAATGTTAGAGCACAATAAAGTCGAAATAAAGAATAAGAAAGGCAAGACAGAAACCATCCACATTAAAGAACTAAGAAAACCCGTTTTGTTACAGGCTCAAAATGAAGAGACTGATACTCCTTCAGCTGATGACCGTGCTGGTCCAAGCTCACGAGATTAAACTGAAACAAATCACCAACTCACCCGGAATTCTCCCATTTAAATTAGGCCAATCTAAAATTATAACCAATAAACATGTATTTATCAATGAAATTGATCTGAAAATCATAGAAAACGAAATTAACAAATTAATTGAAAGCTATCGAAACCTCAAATATCTCACTGGTAACCAATCTAGATATTTTTATACCTTGAAGAATACCTATGAAAATTTGGAACCTATTATCAACGAAGTCACAAATAAATTCAATAATATATATTACCCAGTATATTCCAGAAATAGAAGAGGATTGATCAATGCAGGAGGAACAGTACAAAAGTTTCTTTTCGGTACACTCGATTCTACAGACGGCGAAAGATACGATCGTGCTATTACAACTTTGAAAGAAAATCAACAAAAAATCGTCAAGGATGTCAATATACAAATTTCATTATCCAAACAATTAATCGGCCAATATTCGAAAGATATGGAAACAATTACTAATAATCAGAAGAAGATTTCCAAGTATATTTCTGATAACAAAGCTTCTTTAGAAAACATTTCAGACCAGTTCTCAAAATATGCAGTTTATACAAATATGTTGGATCAAATATTTCTGAATGCCAATATATTCGTTACTCTCTTGGACAACATAGAAAATGCCATTACTTTTGCAAAACTACATATTATTCATCCAGATATATTGCCATTTCAAAACTTGAAAAACATACTAACTGAATTGAAATTTCATAATGATCACAATACGATACTAGATGTTAATTATCACACTTGGTATTCTATTATGCACACAAACTGTTACTTCACTAAGGCTAAGATCATTTTTGCCATAGAAATTCCAATAATTCATCCGAAAACCTTTCAATATTTCCATTTATTTCCAATTCCAACCAATAATCAAACCTTAATTATCCCAAATAAACCTTATTTGGCTCTCGAACAAGAAAACTATCAGTACATGGACCATATCTGTACGAAAGTCGAAGACACCTTCCTTTGCGAGCAAGAAGAATTCAAGTTTAACCCTGTTGAAGACTGCATTTCCGCCCTCATCCAAGACAAGAGATCCCGATGTCTACAAATACCAGTAGAAATTCCATTATTGATATTCAATAAAGTAAATGAAGAGTATTTATTGATCATCAGCCGTGAAGAAATAAAGATTAAAACTCAATGCCCCGAAGAACAATTCCTCACCGTACAAGGCAACATTCTACTTCAGATTCCACTGAATTGCAGCGTCGAATACCAGTCAGTCAAATTCGAAAACAACCAGGCCACAAGTTTTGGTAGTCCCCTCGTATTACCAAAAATCATGAACGGTTCCACCCAAGTTGAAATAGTCCGGAGAAAACCACTCAGAATCGAAAACGTCCCATTAGAAGATATCCATCGGCTCCGGCAACACATCGAAGCAACCAATCAACTATCAATCGATGATTTCAATGACGACCAATCAATCAACTGGATGTTTTGGACTATAGTCGCAATAGCCATCCTCATATTGTTGACCTACATCACTCGCAGACTCCTGAAGTTGAAGAAGAAGCCCTCAGAAGTCCAAATCAAGATCGAAGATAATCATCAATCAGTCCGATCGCCTTCGGTCCTGTTCCAGCCCGAAGCCGTCTCTTAAGGGGGGAGGAGTTACATCGAGCGGTCCCACGGTACCGAGCTAGGTACAACACTTCCCAGGCCGTTTCCCGGAAAGCAGCGAGATCAGCAGATTCATATTTCGTCTCTCAAGATCAACCGACATTATAAATACATGTGTAATTCATTTTTCCGACGATTTTGACCGTATACCTTGTCCAGTAAAGATAATAAACGTTTTTTAAAAAGTCTTTTGCCGGTTTTTCGAAAATAACTAGCGAAACATACCCCCTTTTTTATTTGTTTCTTCTTGATAATCCTCTTCTTATTATTCCTACGTTTGGTATTTCCTTTGGAACTCTTTCGAGCCATCTGAACTGTAAGAAACTCT